TAGCTCAAGAAAGGGGTCAGGGCCCTTAGGAAAAGAGTGGTTTGGAAGGTTAAGTCTGGTCCAAGAGCTCCTGACACGGCAGAGGATAGATGCATTTTCAAAACTCCACCAATTCATCTTCTTCCCCATTCTAGATAGAAGTTTCTGTTTAGTTCTTTGTCCTACCAGAGCATCATAAGACGTTATTAAAATAAGCAAAAAGATGTTTTTCTGGACTGATAAACTGAAAAAAAAAACGAATGTAACCTCATCAACATTCTTTTGCTTTGGTAGACACCTGGGCTTCTTTCACATGAAGTCTGCTAAACACAAAAATAACTAACAATCTTTGCCTGGAGAATCCCAGGGACGGAGGAGCCTGGTGGGCTGCCGTCTATGGGGTCGCAGAGTCGGACACGACTGAAGCGACTTAGCAGCAGCTGCAGCTAGTAGCTCAGAGGTGGAGAGTCTGTCTGCCAATGCAGGAGACACAGGTTTGATCCCCTGATCTAGGAAGATCCTGCATGCCACAGAGCAACAAAGCCCATGTGCCACAACTATTGAGCCTGTGCTCCAGAGCCTGGGAGTCACATGCCAGCTTCAGCAGTTGGAGCGCGTGGGCTCAGGAGCTGCAGGCCCCAGGCTCTAGGGCGCACAGTCTCAGCAGTTGTTGCTTGAGGGCCCTAGAGCTCATGGCAGTAGTTGTGGCACTCGGGCTTAGTTGTCCCATATGGAATCCATGGCCCCTGCATAGGCAGGTGGATTCTTAACCACTGCACCACCAGGGAAGGCCCACCATTAGAGATTTTAAAAGAAGATTGGGCTTTTCTCTTTGTACCCAGAAATGATAGCTGAATTTTTGAGTTAGGAACCAACCTCATCTTAAATGTTATAGAATCTTGGCATTGGTAGGTTTAATGTTTGTGGTGTCAGCTATTTGGGACAGACTCCAAATTTCTATAATATAAGAATTTGTGATTTTTTTGAGGTATAAAATGGAATTCCATACCATGCTAGTGTATTACTAAGCAGTAAGTAGATCTAGCCACCTATCCAATATCTACAAATCAAAATATCTTTGAATAGTTCATATTTATCCTTATGTAGGCATATAAGGAAATTATATGCTAATGGTGTTCACTAAATTAAAGATATAAGTCTCCTTCTTCAAAGTTGAGGCTATTGTATTCTTTTTCATGTGAAGATTGGTTGTTACCATGATTCATTTACCTGGTCAAATCTTTTGCACCCACTGCTTTCTGTTTTGCCCCCATCCTCTGTCAAACCTCAATTTCCCTCATTTATTTGAATACCTGTTTTGAATTTTAACTACTCGCTTGGAGAGAGTCAAATCTACACCTGCCAACTCATTGTTTTCACCTTCCCCCCACCAATCTGTGCTGCTGACATCTCAAAGAAGCCCATGGTAGTCTTTTTTGGGTTATGACACATTATATAATTATCACTTACTAAATTAGCAGCTTAAAATAAAAAAACTTTCCACTATTTAGTTTTCTAAACATAGTTTCTTATTATTCAAATATAATTTCAAGTAATAATGATCACTTGAAAAATTACATGAATGATTACACATATTAGGGAAAAGTCATTAAAATCATTCCCTGGTATTTTACAGTTTACTTTTAATGACAATGAAATATATTAATATGTTGGTATTATTAAAAGAGCAATAATATTTTCTTGTTTTGAATGAAGTTTACTATTTTCTACATCATGTTTCATAATTAGAAATGGAATGAATTGGTGTTTGCTAATGCATAATTATTTGGTTATTTGTATTCATTCTTATCATTTAGATAATACTGATTCTCATTCCCTGACACATACATCAGGATAAAGATCCACATACATTAGAGATATAAGATATAGAGAAAAACATTTTTCCTTCCTTTTCAGAGAGGGTTTTTGTTCCTTCACTCCGTTTCTTTCCCTGTTTAGGTCGAGGTGTTATGTTAGTTGGAATAGGCTAGTCTACATTGTAATAATATATCAGTCACATTCATTTTCTCAAACATTGGAATAATATCAAAATAAATATGCCTAATGACTGTATTATTTAATGCTATATTAAAAAAAAGAATAGCTATAAAAAAAAAATAACAATCTACATGAACCACACTAACAAGCACAATAAATCTTTACTTCATACTCTTTATGGAAAGTTTTCCATTTTGAAGTTTTTTCACCTACCTATATAATCCCCAAATCACAGCTTTCTTTTTCATTGCTAGGTAAAAAATGGCAGCATCTAAAGGATCATTCTTTTTATAAAAGGCTGCTTTGGCTACCTGTAATTACAAAGTATTGGTCAAAAAAAAAAGTATTGGTCAAAATTTCACAGAAACAGTTTTTAAATAAACAAATACTTCCCTTTATGTATAAACTGTCATACATTCTCTACTTAAATGTTCAATAAATTAAAAAAATATAATGTGAATGAACACATGTATATTTATATGTAAATTTATTTTTATAATTACAAAAGTAATCAAGGTCACAAAGAGGTGGAAACAGGACTATGCTTTCCATGACAACCTCTTGAGTACGGCTTTATTTTCCTAAATGTGCATATATACTATTTGTAAAAGACAGGTATATACTACTAAATAAATATATCAACTAGCAATTTAAGAATTAGAATATAAATTTTTAAAAATTACATTAACATGCTATCCTGAAATATAAAGACTACTTAAAAGGATTTTACTGCTTAAAGAGTAACAGGAGAGTAAATATGGAATATCATTTCAATAAACATGCAATACATATTATTTCATTTTTACACCAAAATAAAACACTCACCTTTTCTATGCACTTGCGTAAGATGCGGGTATTCCGGACCCACCACCCCACACCCATAGCTCTAAGTTCAGACCACGTGGGATCGTCTTTTTGCATCGCTGGCAACATGTTCAGTAGTTCTTCTTCTGCTACTGAATGAAATGCCCAGGCAAAATGACTAGTAGAGAGGCCTGAAGAAATATAAAAAATAATGTTTATAAGAAATATGACTATATAATTATGATCAGAAAC